TTCAAGTTAAAAGCGTTACTTGTTCAGTTTGATGATGATGATATACAAAACACTCACATTATTGTTACACTTTCTTGATGTAATTATCGCCTCCTACAACAATAAAACAATGCTTTCCTTCTACAACTGCAAACATTTGTCGAATCTCTGATCGTGTACCGTCCAAGAATGCTTAAAAGGCTTAATCTGAGCTCTTTTCAATGGCTTCCTTTGCAGCAGCTTCTTCTCCTTCGAGCTTCTTCTTCCAGTATTGATCAAGTGGAGGTCCGAAAATCGCTTTCCCCGAAACAACACCAATCCTACACAAAATTCAGTGTTCAGGTTTCAGGAGATTAACATTTGGGTCTCAAAGGACTTTGATAATTTCGGTTTAAGGCAAATTACACAACTCCTGATCTGAGATGCTATCAATTTACAGAAATTGAAGCTCAGATCCTCAAAAATCATCTCCAAATTATAACCAAATGATGATGTTTAGATCAATTCTTACAAGACAACCTACGAATCTAACTAACTAAAAATGGAAAATAAAACCGAATTTACCATTCAAGTAATCATCTACAATCCTCGAATTGACCAGATCTTCCCCAGGAAACACCATAATTTAAGGAACAATGTGCAGAATCATTAGCATTCAAAGAGATAGATTTTCGCCGAGGAGACAAATGAGAGTAAAACGAGTACTTACACAACAGCTCCGATCACCATCGGCAAAGACAAAAATCTGTTCCTCCGAAACATTATCTCACCGCCGCTCGAGCTGATCTTCCGGTCGCCGTCGCTCGCGGCCGAATCTTGATACCTGGAAATTCCTTAGGGTTTCAGATTACACAGTTTAACAACTGCTAATTTCAAAATGGGCCTGACCCAAACATTATAATTTGGGCCCATTAAGAAGCCTTTTTCTTTTGAGTTTTCGTTGTTGGTTTTTGTCGACGCCTTACACACGAGGAAAAGAAAAGCAAAAAGGACCGACCATAAATAATTATTATCACCGACTACTTTTTCTTCTCCACTCTTTTATTCGATTTTATAAAACTCGTGATCAATCTGATTTTGACCTTTTCCTAAACTCTAATGGCACTATTTTCCTATCTCTCTCTTTAATTTATTTTTCCATAATTTCGTTGGTTATACTCAAAACGCAAATCCATCGAAATTTTCTTGATTTCCCTGTTTCATATTGATCAAAACTATACTAAAACTCTATATCACCAAATAAAGTCTTATCTTCGTAGACTTTTTTTTGTAGACAAGAATTTGTTATACCATGCTTAATTATATGTGAGATTCCTAACTATATAGACAATAGACTAGACCATGGATAAAGGTGTCATTTATACGACGTCTACCATAATTAAAGAAAAAATGGGCAACAATGAAGATCCGTAGATGGTGAAATGTTAACTATAGACTAGACCCACAAAGATATCCTTTACCACACTGGTCCACTGTTATGTGGTTGTATACTTTTAGTATATTGGAATTTATTATTGTATATTATGTAAATTAAACCTGTGTATGTCATTCAGACATTGACCTTATAACCCTAGCTAGTTATTGATAAGTGTATGGTTATGTTTTTAACATCCACACATAATTTCAAAAGTATGTATATGTCGATGTACATTAATAGATGCAGGTAAGTCAGTATTTGATAGGTGTGTATGCTTTTATTATCTTTAATGTGTGTTAGGGGTATGCGAAACTGGTGGTATCAAAAATAGGGATTTTAATTTTCACCACAATAAAGTAAGCTGCTTTCATT